GTTGGAATGACTTGTCTGACGAAGGAGGCGTGCATTTGCCAAAGCTCTCCTCCAATAAAAGGAGGAGGGCATGACAACTTTGATCAAGCGTGAACGCGAATTGTTCGGTTTAAGGGCCGGGCATACTTCACGCGATTTCAGTCGCGACGCGACTTGGCAATATTCCAACTGTCCATAACTCACCGTAAGCACATTTCAAATATACAGAGGATAGAGCATTTTATCAATCCACGTAAGTTATGCACACTATGCATGTGCGGAATGCTAGTGTTGGATCTGAAGACTTCTGGCGATTTGCCAAATCGCGTCGCGACTGAAATCGCGTGAAGTATGCCCGGCCCTTTACCCATCCAGTAAACCTCCGAAGGGGCACAGTCGACATCCACAACGTCGAGAATCTCACAAACTTTGTCTTGTAGATAAATTCGACGTTCGGATGGGCGCAGCCCCTCCGGAGGTTCCTGGATTCCACTTATGACCAGGCTTCGAGAACGTTTCTCTGCCTCTAGGACCTCAGAAAATCCAGAAGAAATTTTTTCGGCTAATACAGAAAGCATTTTTTGGATTGTTGGATCCCTATTAAGCTCGGAGATCGATTTGATCAGGTCATGTATTGACATAGCACTGAATTCATTTCCTTGATCTACATTGACACTAATCCGATTATCCTGTGTTTTCTGAGAGGCGCTGAGTCCTTGGATTTTGTTAAAGCGAGTATGCGCCATGTGATTTTGATAGTTCAGTATCAAGAAAAAACTCAGAAATCCAAAAGAGTCAAATTAGTAAGGAAAAGAATAGCACTACCAATCAAAATCGGCCTCAAGGGGATCCAATCAAACCAAAAAAAGTTCAAAAGGATGCAATATAGACAATTAAATAGAAGCAAAAAGATTTACGTGAGAGAGAGCGGAAGAATGCAACCGCACGTGGCGTCGACACGTTCGTGAATGAAACTAACTTCAAGCGGGGTTGAGGATTGAACGCTGTTCTGCGTCATGTATAAGATAGGCTGTCGTGCGCTTGTCCATTCTCTCTTCGTGATTTGCTCAAAACTACTTCATTTGTTCTAAGAAGGCGCTGCGTAGCCTCGCATTTGTATTGAAGTCGACATAGACAAGTCTCTAGAACACTTGAAGTAGGCCTAAACAAAAATGGCAGAGAAGATGTACGAGCGCACGAAGGTCTATTCCCAGATACATGAAGCAGAACAGCGTTCAATCATCAACCCGTTCAAGTTCGCAGCCTTTCTCATCACAAGGAGAAGCGGGGTAGAAGAAAGAACGGAGAAGGAACGATATGGAAAAAGCAGAGATGCTGAGAACGCTCAAAAACGAAACTCATCAAAAACAAGAGACAAGTTCCAATTCATGCAGTTTCAGAATTGCTCCTACTCCATAATTCGTGACAGATGGCTATGGAGACTACGCAGCGGCTTCCTGTGGCCGTATTCATCAAACGAACCCTGAGGGTTAAACTAACCCTGGAAAGCGATTAACCCGTATTCGTGAAACACAGGGTAGGCTTAATCCTGAGGGTTAAATCTACCCTTGAGGGTAAACCTTACCCCGAAAGCGATTAACCCGTATTCATCAACGAGTCCTGAGGGTTAAACTAACCCTGAAGGGTAAAACTTACGTAATGCATCAGGGTTGATTTAACCCTAGCTTAGAGCAAGGTTAACTCTACCTTAACACTTCATACAAACATTTACTCGCATCTAATATTTTATGGAAAACATCAGCGGGTAATGTAGTATTTAGTATTAGCTTTTGTTATAGTATTTAGTTTCGACTTCGTTTTATGTTCAAATTCGAAGTACATGAAACACTGACTTCGCGAGAAAAAGAATTCTAGCTGTGATGACAGATGAATGCGACAAGGAAAAATGGTTGCGCATTCTACTCTGACAAGTGCCAAGACTGAAGAACCCCTTTATGATAATACGCACTGACCCCTAAAAGAGTAGCACAAGTTCGTATAAAACGAACTGCGCAAAAGTAGAAATTAACGGCACAATTGCACACATGAGTATAAACTCACGCGTAAGATTGGATGCTGCACAAATGTGCTAGAGATGTATTATAAAAACTAGTGTTAGAAGCTTATTCGTTGATTATCTTATATATAAAGCTGAATGTCTGTTTGTATGTCTGTATGTCTGTCTGTGTGTACGTATGTTCCGAATAGAAAATTCCATTTCTGAACCGATCGGGACCAAACTTAGCACACATACACTTCGGGCCCCGGCGAGTGTCATAGGCTACTTTTCGTCATCGATCGATATCGATTTTATCGAGCATGCTGATCACCCCCACGGGGGTGATCAGCATGCTCGATTACCCCCCTGTGCCAACTCCCAGTACAATATTAGTTTTTAAAATCGTGCATTACTTTTATCGATTTTATCGATTTTTTTGCAAAGTTTGAGCTACGGGGCTGGGATTTGGCACAGGGAGGTAATCGAGCATGCTGATCACCCCCGTGGGGGTGATCAGCATGCTCGATTACACCCCTCTGCCAAATTCCAGCCCCTAGCTCGAATTTTGCAAAAAATGATAAAATCGATATCGATCGATGACGAAAAGTAGCCTATGACATCCGCCGGGGCCCGAAGTGTATGTGTGCCAAGTTTGGTCCGGATCGGTTCAGAAATGGAATTTTCTATTCGGAACATACGGCAGAGCCGGGTAAGCCATCTAGTACTACTATAAAGAATAGAGGTACAAAGTAGATTTAGCACGTACTCAAGCATTCTGTGATGTGAGTTTGCACAGCGCACGCGTAACTGACGCCTTGACCCTCCAGGGTTAGTTTAACCCTGTTCATTGATGGATACGGCCACAGGTTTGTTGATCGATACGGGTGGATCGCGTTCCGTGGTAAATTCTACCCTATGGTTGATGAATATGGCCAATGAACCCTGAGGGTTAAACTAACCCTGGAAAGTAAGTTTAACCATCAGGGTTCGCTGATGATACGGCCACTGGAAAATGAAGTAATTTTGAGCAAAAATAGCGAAGAAAAATCGAGAGCACAAGAACACACGTTCTGTCGCTTACACAAAGCAGAAAAGCGCTCATTCTTCAACCCCCGCTTCGAATTCGAAGTTCTGCTAATTAAAAAGAAAAGCGGAGTGGAGGAATAGCAAAATGAGAGAAATCTGAAAGTTGAGAACGGTCAAAATTCTCCAACTCCCGCCGTTCAGAATGGTGTGGGGCGGCTTCAGCGCATGCAGCACAGTTCCGGAACAGTTCCAGCACAGTGCGAACTGTGCGGGAACTGTGCGGAAACAGTTTCAGAACATGGGAATCAATATGAACCGGGCCTTAGAGATAAGGCCTCGAATGCCACTAATTGTTGACACGCACAATTGCCCGCGGACTTGTATCTTGAGAGCAACACACCAGCACCATAAACACGGATGAATAAACCTTTACTTTATTATAAGTGATAAAATGACAATCAAAGTTGATATAACAACATTCAAAAAGTGACAATCAGTCTAATCGGTGAGTGAACAGTAAATGATACAAGGATAAATGCTTGCAAAAGTGAATATGGCTTCTTACTTGTAAGGAAACAAGAGATGATGAGAAAGATAGACTGATTGCGAGCCGTCCACAGGCCATCTGAATCGCAGCTCACCAGTTAAATTCCTCCTTTGAAATGCATTCCAAGACCATCTGGCGCAACTGGCGTCTGAATCACTTGCTCGCACAGTGGTCTGTGCTTTGCAAGGAGAGAAATACTGTAATTGGCAAACCGTAGCATTATTGCTTATTTTTCTTATCGTTGTTGGCGACAGTTCTAATGTACGCTGATCATGGTTATCATACTCTTTTTCGTTTCGAAACCTTTTTGCGGAAGTTTCTTGGTCTCCTGCTTTTTTTGTTTTCATCGTTTTGGCGCTTTTCAAACGCTGATGATCATCATTACATAGAAGACGTTGATAGCTTTACTATATCGTAGACTCATTCACTCAAGACCACTTGCTCACACACTAACTAGCGCTCATCTCCATCCTGGTATTGATTATTGTGGTCATCTACTTTTATGCCTTTTATCTTCATCCTTGGTCTTCCTATGTTTTTGTTCCTCTGCTCAAACAGATTATCCTTCTCATTGTCTTCCACTGCCGCTTTTCGCAAGCATCAACAGGCAAAGTGTAAACCCACTCATCTCCAGGGACCCACTCATCTCCAGGGTATAATCTGAGGTGGAAGTGGATCTTTTGGAATTCACACATATGACATATACCACTGTAGAGGTTTTTATCCACTTCATCCATTGTATGCGGTTGCATTCTTCAACCTTTCGACAATAAGGCCGAAGGGTGAAGGGATGCGCTGCCAGTGAAAGATTGGATTCTCTGCGAACACTTTCCAAAGAAGTGCGAGCGTCTCAAAAGCTCCGCGAAGAAGTCGACTGCTTTCTGCCGGAAGCCATCATCGACATTGTGCTGGTAGCGCTTTTCCCTGGTATATATCCCGGTGTCCATCCAAATTTTTTTCGCACTATTGCGCTCGAGTTATGTCAGTCTAAAATTTTGAAGAAAGGCTTGCAACTCTAAAAGTTTCGAGTAGTAGGTTCCAGCCAATACGTGCTTTGCACAGGTTTTGCCTTGCCCTTGGGGATACAGAAGAAGTTAGAGAAAAGCGATTTGGTCAGATCTCAGATGGAAAGCTTATTTTGACTGCTACTGCCGAAGGATGGAACACAGAAGCATTCCAAGATATTCCATTCGTATGTCATTATTTTGGCGACATTGTACCGGCGTCCATTCATAGACAAACTACTGCCGCGTATGTGAAGGTCTCTGCTGTATCGTTTCATAAAATGGAATGATTTATGATTGTGAGCTTCATAGGAACATCGCCATGAAATACTACAGGGCGTCCGGTTGATTTTATGCTTTCACTTTGTTTCTTCAAACTTTTCTTCACTAGCAGTTACAGTATCACTATCAAGATTTTTTAAAGTTCGATTGTCGTTTTTCTGCAATGGTGGAAGAAGATGTTCGTTGCAAATGCGCAATCTGTGCGGAAGTATTCGATAGGACCACTATGACAGCCTTGCATTGTGGGCATGTTTTCCATGAGGAATGCATGCAAGGATGGTTGGAGGTAGGTAAAATTGTCCCCAATCATCGCTCTCTCCTTCTGAGGAATTTCTATTTTCAGCATACGGATACACCCACTTGTCCAAATTGTGGAGTTTCCATCAACAAAGATCTGATAGTACGTCGCCTCTTCTTCGAAGTTAACGATGATCAAAACAATGACGTACTTATGGTAGCTCTCAGAGAAACAGAGTTTGCTCTCTCACGTGCTGAAGCAGAATTACAAGAACTCAAGAACGATAAGAAAGAAGTAGAAGACAAGGTATTAGGTCGTGTAATAAGTTCTGTCCCATTTTTTGTTTTAGTTTTTTCTTGACAACATTGACTAAATTTGAAATAAAGTGTATACGTTTTTGAAAGCTCTAAGTCTGCTCTACAGGATCGTATGCATCATTCTCCAACATAGCAGGAAACTGAAAAAGATTTCTATCATTGAAACAAAAAATCCAACGGGCCGAAAAATCAATTTTCGACATCTTTTTTCCTCTAAATTTTCTCGATTTTTATTGGTAAAACTTACTAAACAAGCTTGACAACAACCGAAACAATCTATTAGACTTTTACACATTTACTCTATAACTGTTTGCGCATGTTACTTTCCTTCCACCGGCTATTTAGTGACATTTTTTCAAAAGTCGGTAAGGCAAGACTTTGTCACGGCGATGTTCGCCGTCTCGCGTACCCAAGCTGTGTGGCTCCCAAAATTCAAATTTTGAGTATCTAACCTACGAATTCGATAATTTTGAAGCCATAAACCATCCCTTCTGTCTATTCTGGATGATCCGCCTACCGTCTTCCCTCAGGATGCCTTCAGTTGATGCCCAACACTAACGTTGAAAAGGCGTAATCAGGAGACTTTTCTAAAGTTTACAAAAATGTTTTTTTAAAAAGTTTCAGCACTTCTGAAGCGCAATAGAAGCTAGAGCAAGCTTTTTTGCTTACGTGTAACAAATTTTCGAGCTTATTCCTAAGCATTCTGGCTGAATAGGAGGGCGACGTAACGTAGTTGTCGAAAATGGACTTTTTCCTTGTTTGATTTTCCAGATTTGACGCTGTAAAACTTTTTCAAGTCATCTAATGTAGAAAACCGAGATGAAAGTTTTAGTAGAGAAGGCTTAGAGCTTTCAAATGCATATAAACAATTTGCAGAACATCGCGCAAAATATTGAGAAAAAATCGAAGGAAAAAATGGGACAGAACTTATTACACGACCTAATATGAGCAATTCAGCCCACGCCGAGAAGGCATACCTGCGGACCCTATCAGCGTCTCCCAGATCAAAGCACTTTCGTACTTCTTATTATCTGCTGCCTCTTCCACGCACGCATAAGACGGAGTTACTGCACGCATTTAATAAGTGGCATTTGAGCTCTAGCTAGGCTCATCGCACGCAAGGATTGGACGTAATGGGGTCCACTTCTTGCCCCCGGTAACAGTCTAAAGCTCATTCAACTCTTCTTCAACTTTTCCACTTCATCGAATTTTAGCTCGCACTAGAATTGGGAAAAGTTGCTTCGTTCGGGATACAGATTCACAACCAAAATAGGTTAGTCCAAATTACCTTGGAATGACAGAGAGTGAAGGCAATGCACTTGCAGGCAGCTGGATGAAGCAACTAATTTACAGAAAGAACTTATAGGAGAATTATGTGGAGAGAGAGGAGAACTGAAGATTCTTCGGGAAAAGGAGATCGATTTCGTACTACGCATTCGGGTTTGTAACACCTTGGATTTCAAGCAGTATGTATTGATTTTCAGGATTTGGAAGATCAACAGAGGATCTCAAAGAAAAACGAGGACGACTCAAAACTTCTTGTCAAGGTTTATGACGCCTTGAGTTTCAAGTAGTATATCTTATTGTTCAGAATTTGGAAGAAAAACTGAGGATCTCAAAGAAAAACGAGAACGACTCAAAACTTCTTGTCAAGGTTTATGACGCCTTGAGTTTCAAGCAGTATATCTTATTGTTCAGAATTTGGAAGAACAACTGAGGATCTCAAAGAAAAACGAAAACGACTCAAAACTTCTTGTCAAGGTTTATGACGCCTTGAGTTTCAAGCAGTATATCTTACTATTCAGAATTTGGAAGAAAAACTGAGGATCTCAAAGAAAAACGAAAACGACTCAAAAATTCTTGTCAAGGTTTATGACGCCTTGAGTTTCAAGCAGTATATCTTACTATTCAGAATTTGGAAGAACAACTGAGGATCTCAAAGAAAAACGAGGACGACTCAAAACTTCTTGTCAAGGTTAATGATGCTTTGAGTTTCAAGCAGTATATCTTATTGTTCAGAATTTGGAAGAAAAACTGAGGATCTCAAAGAAAAACGAAAACGACTCAAAACTTCTTATCAAGGACTCAAATCCTTATATCGAGGTTTATAGCACCTTGGGTTCTAGGCAATATATCTCACTATTCAGAATTTGGAAGAACAACTGAGGATCTCAAAGAAAAACGAGGACGACTCAAAACTTCTTGTCAAGGTTTGTAGTACCTTATGTTTCAAACAGTATATCTTATTGTTCAGAATTTGGAAGAACAACTGAGGATCTCAAAGGAAAACGTTCACCTTATAGGCAGTGTCGGGCGAAATGTGGGTTGTAATGTTTCGTTCTTATACCAATGATTCCTTGATTGAGCCACCGCTCACTGCGAAACTAGAGAAATGACGCTCATTTCCGTACACTGGCCCTTCGGCGACGGCGAGCGTTACGTATCCAGCCGAGGTGCAAAGGCTTGCAATGCGTCTAACTAGGTCAGCACACCGTGAAGTGCAAACACACATGTGCGCGAGCGCTACCATAGCTGCAGCGTGCAGGGGCCATACCGTGCAAAGCGGCGAAGTCCTTGTTTAAGCTACTCTTTTTTTTCTCAACTTCTTCTCTGTCCTGCTTCCAATTATGTCCGAAACACGAGTCGATATAATGAATCATGACATCCGGAATCAGCCACATCCGAAAAAGGTCTGGACGAAATGAAAGATGGCAAGAGATACAATGATGAAAACAAGGCCCGCGATGTTGTGCAGATGTGATTTTCAGTTTTTGGGTTGTATAAAGTAGCAAGTACTGTCTCCGAGCAAGTACTAAAACTTAGAATGATTAACGAAAAGCTGAAAACGATGACGAAAACATTGAGAAATGAGATAAGCGATGTTGTTCCAGAAAAAAGTTGATAACTTGGAGGCTGAGAACAACGACCTGAAGAGGTTAGCTTCACCTAGTTTGCGCTGACACAGTTCTAACCATATATTTAGGCAGCTGGATGAAGCAAGGAATCTACAGAAAAAGCTCACAAAGGAACTAAATGCAGAGCGAGAACAACTGAGAATTCTCAAAGAGAAGGCAAGTATAAGCTAGTCGAGACGAACGCGGTTGCTCATGTAGGCGAGACGTGCGCGGCGCACCAGCTTTAATGATGAAAGATTCAAATACGCCCTTCGCAATCGCTTCGCAGAATAAGGTGACTTCTTTCGTCAGGGTCAGGAATCGGCTTTTAATCTTAAACTACCGTTCCGGCTTGTAAAACCACATCGAGTATTTCATTCTTTTTTCAGAGCGCTGAAGAACAACTGAGGACTTCAAAGAAAATGGAAGATTTGGAGGCACTTGTTAAGGTTTGTAGGATTCAATGTCCGAGCTAGATGTTCCGTATTTGTTCAGGTTGTGAAAGAATGGTTGAAGGTACTCGATGAAAGGGATGCCCTGAAAATGTTCACTGAGGTTTATTACACCGCATGTACCAAGCTACGGAGTGTCGAAGAACAGCTGAAGAATATGAAGACAAAAGAGACCGATTCCGGAACTAGATGAATTTTGTAATCCTAATGCGGGACTATGACATAATTAAGACAAAATTGAAGCTGCCTTTAATTGTGCCGTGAATGTAATCACTGAGACATGTTGTGCATTGTCCCATTTACTTGCCATGCGAAAACTATGGCATCTATAGATTTGCCATAATTGGTAGTAAATGAGATAGACCCGCAGTAGAGCTGCTTCATTCGATCTCAACTGAATAAAATTTCAGTTGAAGCTTCGACAAGTCAACTTGCCTTCAGTCGAGCCATTGATTGATGTTGCCAACCACCCACGATGACAAGATTGAGAGCGCCACGTCCATGCAAGTATACGAGTCAAGACGAATTTGCCAAACGTTCACATCTACGTCATCGGCACTAGCGGCGGGGATGTGGCCGCACTTGTTAGATCTTGTTAAGTATCGTCAGCATCACTGTGGCTCCTCACCGAACATGTTAACTGACGTGTATCGCAAGTTACTCACGAGTAACTTACGAGAAGTTTCTCTGCGTATCATCATTGGCACACTATTTAAATCAATTGGTGGTCTAACCGAATGTGGACTGACTGAAGTAAGGTAGACAACCTCGTCAGGTAGACGGACAGTCCACTGAAATTTCATTTTGCATTCTTACTACATGGGAAGCCCGTGATAGGCAGTCCACCTTACCAAATCTTGGATGAGGGCCTCAGTTCAGTTCACCTGAACTGAATTAGTTTTACTACGGGCCATAGAACCGCTTACTGAAGTTTACATACTTCGTCGCTATAGTCGCCGTCTCCTTGCAGTATACAAGCTCGCATCCACTTCCGAAGCCGATGGCGGAGACGGAGGGGGGAGAGAGAGTAGGGAGAGTAGAAATGTTGCGAAACTCCTGAAAGTCTTAGATAAGTTATAACACTGTGCAAGTAGTAGTGAATAATCACGTTAATTTTTGGGATTATTTAACATTTCAAGTTAGCGTAAAAGAACTCCTTTTCTAGAATTTGCGGTCAGAGACAAGCAAAAGCGGGAAACATCTCAAAAAAATTTGCGGGCCGTGTGACGCCACCCACATTCATTCAAAAAAAATTTGTCGCACACTTATCTCCCTCTCCCGTTCCTCCCTGCTGACGAATGCTGGGACTGCCCCTGGTATTAGGTCGTAATACAAGTTTCTTCAATCATCCTTCTAGAAAAGTTTTTTTTATCTTTTTTACAACTTTTATTCATTCTCAACGGTTTACAACATGGTCAAAATACCGTGATGATTGGATTTGTAGCTTTGATCAGTTGGACCGCCTCTTCTCGACGATATAGTCCTTTACCCATCACATAGGTGTCTTGGGATCGCAAAAGTATGTTCTAGTCGTTTCCAGTTACCATAGTTCCTTCTTTGTCCTTGCCATGTACTATTAAGCTTAAAGTTCTTGCAGTGCTTTCGAATACCCATCTTATTCGCGGTCTACCATCACCAAAACGTCGCCCAGTGGGTGGTGTCCAGCACGTCAAAGTTTCTGTCCATTTTACTTGGCCTTCTGCCACGAATATTCTTCTTGCAAATCTCCATTTCCTTCCCCGAGCTGTTAAAATGTCCTTCAGTTTTGTGGTAGAACGAATCCATTTTGCAGATTTTTTATCCTTCAACCGAAAGCCAAGCATTGATCTTTCCATCGCTCTTTGGCATTTAAGGAGTTTCATGAGCAAACTTCTAGTTGCCGCCCACGTCTCGCATCCATATAAAAGAGTCGAAAGAATCACTCTGTTGAAGTTCTTACGTTTTGGATGCACAGCTTTTGTTAGAGAGAAATTTTCGCAACTTGCCAAAGGTGTTCCAGGCTATTACAATGCGCCTGGAAATCTCCTTATCATGATCGCGTGGACATTGGATCAGTTGACTGAGATAAATAAAGGAACTTACGCGTTCTATGAAGTTATTCACCAACGTGATAGACGAACTCGTCCAATTTTCCTTTTCTATCTTCACCCATCCACTTGGTTTTGCTGGCGTTGATCTGAAGTCCGACTTGGTGGCACGCATCAAGAAGTTCTTCAGCCATGATCTGCAGTTGACCTGGATTATGTCCTATAAGCACAACGTCATCCGCAAATGTGAGTAACGGAATTGCCTTCCACAAATATTGTAGCCAATCTCATCTTTCTATGAAACAGAATCAATTGCATACTGAAGACAAGTGATAAATATGAGCGGTGACAATGCATCTCCTTAGCGAACTCCTCTCTGTACTTCAAATTGGGTATTGTTGTTGTCAAGCTGAAGTGAGGCAGTTGCTGCTTCATATAGGCGTTGTATCATCGAAATTGTGTCACTGTCGACTTGGAAGGGGCAAGGGCTTTCCAGATCGCATCAAAATGAATGGTATCAAAGGTCTTTTGGAAATCAAGGAAGACGAGGGCAAGTGGTAGATGGTATTCATGGGTTTTCTCAATTAGGATTGCACGTAGATGATTAGTGGTTGAGAATAATCATCGAAATCCAGCTTGTTCGGTGTATAAGAATCTGCAAACTTTTGCTTCGACTCGAATGGCTAGAGCTTTTGTCAGGACTTCATAAATTGTGGGTAACAGGAAGATTAAATGGTAGTTTTTGATATTGTAGCGGTCTCTTTTTTTAAAGAGAAATATGATGGAGGCTTGGGCAAAATCTGCAGGGATATTGTTGTCCGCAAACAGTCGATTAATGATGTTCGCTAACTGAGGAGCAGCGACCTCTACGGCGTACTTAGCAGCTTTCGAGCGAATGCCGTCAATGCCTGGGCCAGCGCTACCGCGGATTTTTGAAGCTGCTTTCTTAATTCGTCGGCGGTGATCGGCTGTGTCATGGGTCGGGGCATGTTGGTCGTGGGTCGGGGAATACGGGAGGTAGGTAGGGAGACGTAGACGTAGGAATGTGCGAGCGGTCGGGATCGCGGGATGCATAGAGTTAGCAAAGTAAGTACTTGCAAGTTTTTACTGTCACCAAATGGGATGTCGTCAGTTGCCGGCAGGCCCGCTATTGACCTACAAATGACTCAAAGCGAATTCTACATGGGCAAACATTCGGCACGACGTCATGCTCTTCTATGACACACCTCTTGCTTGGATAAATGAACATCCTCCACGCTCGCCTATCGCTCCGCTCCCTCTGAAAAAAGCATTTTGTGATATAATAAATGTTGACTCACTGAAGTCTTTGAAAGATGATTAAAGAATGACAGAGCATCAGTTAAATAAAACTTAATTTTCGCCATATAAAGCTATTAGGGTGAACGGTAAAAAATGGGACACATACGAAATAACTGGAGGTTTCTCAAGAATGAAAAGCGATTAAACTTTTCAAATTTGATAGATGTTTAGAACATGTTATTCTCTTTTCAGATAATATCTATATAAGGTCATACATAATTAATAATTTTTATACTTGCTAAAATGCAAAGTTAGTCACTTCGATAAATTATGAAGTTTGAGCAGTATCTGAGACCGAGACATCTGAGACTACCCAAAGTATCATTGCTGGAGTGGGTGGTGGGACAGTCACTAAACCCACGACGGCTTGGTGGCCTCAAGTCAGGAGATATGGCCATTAGCCGCTTTGAGGACAAAGACACGCGCTATTCAATTCTTTGAAGTGAACGCATGTTTTCTAGGCACGATATATCTGATAGAGCTTTTTACGCTCTATCCATCCATATGCAGCTTACCTCAGATTTTATCTATCTTCGGAAAATATAGGGCAAAACATGATTTTTTTGTTTTTATTGCGCCAAAAATAGCTACTTTTCAAGTTTTTTCGCTTTGTTCTGAAATTGAAAAGAAATCTCGTGCATTTAACATATCGTTTGAAAGAGCTTGTTCGAATGGTATGTTATTTGCTTTACGACTTTACGGTATAGCAGCGCAATGAGAATTGTTCCAACAACCCTGTCTGAGTTCTTCACGGCGCCACGTGTACGGTTATGAGAGAGGATTGGTAACGCGTTGCCAGAATGATAGGCGAAGGTCGCTTATGTAAGCGACGCTTGAGTTGTAGCCTGCTTGTTGTTGGTGAGAACAGAAAACCTCAAAATGTAAAAAAAAATCAAGCTGTCCCATTTTTTACCCTTCACCTTAATATCATGAGCTTCAAACCCCTAGAACTGAAAATGTAGGTGAAACTGTATGCACTAGAAATATCGAGATTTATATCTATCCTTTAAACAGCTCAAAATTCAGCTCAAAATTCTTCAGTCTTGATCGTCGCAATTTTTCGTGAGCCTGTAAACGAAATTTTATCTTTTTGAGTTCAAGTTGATGATGATTGTGGTTCTATGGATGAAAATATAATAATAACCTTCTCATGAATTTGCTTGTCGTCAGCTGTTATGACTGGCATTTTAAATGCTTCCAAATAATATTTCAAAGCTTCATCCTTGTTGCCCATCCTTTCATGAACTTCAGCGATGTAGTAGGTGTTGGTACTATAGAAATGCGGCTGAAATTCAGCGTAAGCACAATGTGGCTTAGATCACAAACCATTCAAAATCCCAACAAGACACTCACCGAGATTTCTTCTGCCTTCAAGAAATAATGAAGAGCTTTGTCATAAGTGGAGCTAGGCGGTGTGCCAAAAATAGTTTTTGCGATAACTCGCGTGGCCCATCAGCGAAAGAGAAATGCCATACACTTAAAATCGGATGGCTTGCGCATGACTAGTCATAGCCTTTTAGTATAAAGTACAAAGTCCCTTATATTGGGTTGGCACGGAAGTTCGTTTGCACCGTTTTAAAATTTACGACTTCCTCCTTCAATTGTGCACATTCCTTTAGAAAAGGAGATTAAGTTCTTTCTAATGTACTCAAATAACTGTTCTTGGAAGCAAGCTCCAAAAGATTGAAGCCAGGGAGGAAAGTTACTCAATTTTCCAGTTGCCTTTTGGTCAAGAAAAACCTGAAACTTGCAACACAAATCGGACAGTCGATATTCTAGGTAGTAATACTTGCTCTTTCTAAATGAGCAAACTTTGCGGTGATTGAAAGTCTCCATGAAAAGTCATTATTTCTGAGCGAACAGTAAAATACTGCGAATATGATTTTTTGCCATTTTTTTCGAAAATCACAACTTTCACAGAAACGTCCAATTAGCGCAGCTTTTTCAGTTAGAAAGAGCAACTAGCAAAACCTAAACTATCGAATAATCCGATTTTCGTTGAAAGTTTCACATTTTTTACGACCAAACACAAGAAATCTAAAAATTGAATTTTGTTTTCTGGCTTCGATCTCCGGAACTTCATGCTAGCAAGAGCTACTTTGAGTAACATTAAAAAAAGCTTGATTTTCCTCTTCGAAAAACAGATCAGTCGCATGTATCTCAGGTAGTTGAGAAGAAGTTGTGAATTTTCGAAAATTGTTCAAATGAACTTTTGTGCCAACCTAATAGAACGCCTAAAAGAAGAGCCAGTTAAACTTTTTTGATTTTCGAAAACTGCGATACATGCGACTGATCTGGTGCACCAAATGACCCAAGTTAAGTTCATATCAAGTAAAAAAATGCTTAAAAAATGAAAAAAGTAGTAAAAAATGCTCATCAAGAAATGCCATGTCGTTGGATCATTCTCACAGATTTGCAGTGCACGTTCGAGGTGTCCTTTTACCTAGAATCCCCATTATCATGCGAATCCGCAAAAAATTCAAGAATTTTGTACATTACTTTGTGGGATTTCTGAATTCAACCTCTCCCATATAATCCAATGATAGAGCATACCTCCAAACACTTGAATTAATTCCAAATAAGCTCATCGTATAACTGATACTAATCTCTATATAGTATATAAAACTCAAAAATTGTCCGTTTGGAGGGTATGTGAGTTATAGAAAAGCGAGTTATAGAAAAGCGCGCCGCTCAACCGATTGGGATGAAAGTTTGCACACAAATGTTTTAGGCGGTTTTAGGCTACTTTTTGGGGTGATTCACTGGGTCCTTTTGTCGATTTATTGATTTATTTACGTTTTTCCAAAAAAAATTGAAGGCTTATCATGTTTAGTCAAGCATTTTGGCATAGCCATGTAAAAGAAGGCGAAGAAGCTCATTTTCAGCTAAGGATCACGAAAATGCGGTTTAGAAGCGGATGTCCCAGGGTGAGCTATCCATAACATATAAAAGGGGGGGGCCGCAGTGCAGGAGAACGATGGCCCGGTCTGTACCGGGAAAAACTAGTATCTCATAAAATAAGGTGAGGTGTTTTACCATTTATGTGCACCGAAGCATCCTTCTTTTTTCCGAAAAGTGCAGAACGTCAAGCGTCTTTCTTTTCAAGAAGGGTGATCGGGAGGATCTTCGGAACTACCATCCAATATGCCTGCTGAGTGTGCTGTACAAGCTTTTCACGAAGATTATCCTCGCTCGCATATCTAGGACACTGGATAAAGCTTAACTCCAAGAACAAGCTGAATTTCGCAAAGGATTAGCTGCAAGGACCACATTCAAATGGTTTCAAAGGTCATAGAAGCCTGCGGGAGTACCGACTGCCTCTCGTCCCTTCGTCGACTACGAGAAAGCCTTTGACAGCGTGGAAACCAACGCCATCCTGTCAGCGCTAGTCGATCAAGGAGTATGAGGACTGTTACAAGGACTGTTACAAGGTCAGCCGACTGTTACAAGGACTTACAACTACGATGCAGCTGTTTCATCGCCCCTTGACCATCCCAATTGGGAAGGGGTCCGACAAGGCGATACAATTTCGCCGAAGTTGTTCACCGCGGCCTTGCAGTGGGAGATGAAGTCACCGGACTGGGACGAGAGAGGCATATAAGTTGATGGGAGATTCCCGTCGAACTTTCGTTTTGCGGACGACATTGTTCTCTTTTCCAGCAAAATCACTGCAGCAGAGACGATGCTGAGGGAATTGAACGAAGTAGGGAAGAAGATCGGATTGCGAATAAATCGGAAGAAGACTCAGTTCATGAAGAATGCCCTTTGCGAAGATGCAGAAATGGAACTGAAAGGCACCCCTATCATGGAGACGTCTTCTGTGTATTTCGGATGTTCGATGAACGTGGAGAACGACTTGAGGGAAGAACTTAATAGGAGAAGAAGAACAGGGTGGCTCGCCTCCGGGCGTCTGAAGAAAGCCACCGACCAACTGACGGATCCGGAGCTTCGTGTCCACCTCTTCGACTCAACCGTTCTCCCGGCGCTGTTACGCAGCTGAGACTTGGCCTGACACCGTAGCCACGTCGAAAGGTTCAAGGAGCACTCACAGAGCGCTCGAGCGCAGTCTCCTGAAGATGACCCGACATAAACAACATCTAATCGGATTTCGCAGTACGGATATGAGAAGAATGTCCCGTCTTCGTGACGCAGCGGATTACGTTGCGAAAGCGAAGAATCGATGGGCCGGTCACATTATGAGAAGAACAGACGACAGATGGACACTAGGAACATCGAAGTGGATTCCTCGCGAAGCAAAATGTCCCCGAGGAATACCTCCAAGAAAATGGGCAGACGTGTTCGTGGAACGGATGGACCAGCTGAGAAATCAGATGGATACTATTTTTTCACCTGGAACTCGTGGACGCAGCCACCGACGACGACAAGAAGCGTGGATGTCTGAAGCTAAGGACAGGGAAAAAATGGAAACTTTTGTGCTAAAGCCCGCACATCACGTGAAGCCGGGCCATCTAAGTATATTCAACAGTCATCATTGCTAAAGATAGATAGCCAAAACGAGGTATGAATTCGCGGACGCAGAAAATGCATACATTGCGTCTAGTGTAGCGGTGCGGTCCCAACCGACTTCGCAGAGGTTATAGGATGAAAGATACTGCAGCTAGAACTGTGGCAGTAAGGAAGGCAGACTACCCTTTGATTCAATGAGATTGGCGGCTGGAAGTTGACCGCTCGCGCTCGCACGTCTGCGTCTCTCTCGCGGGCATGCTCTCTGATGATTCTTCAGCCCTTAACCACGCCTCGAAGCCCCGCCTTCCAGCTGCCAATCCTATTGCATTGAAGGGTGCATACTGTGTGTCTAGCAGTTAATGGATGTTCAAGCCCTTAGTTTGAGATTGCGTCTAGAGTTGCGTGTGGCAGCGCCGTCCTAGCGCCGTACAGCACCCACGTGGACGCGTCCCATATTGATCGGTCGTCGTTTCGGCACCACAGGTGCGATAGTGTGAGACTTTTCTCACCCCCTCTTCACCCCTGAGCGGGGACCAAGGTGACCCCCTTCACCAAAAGCCGAGAAAAAAATCAACAGTGAGGTAAGGTTAAGCAAAGGAGATATTTGTACGTGAATTGTCAGTGTATAGGAAAGGAGGAGTCTGTTGAAAAAAGTGCTTGTTGACGGGTGTGAGTAGTGATTTCTGGAGATTTTCGGGTTTTTGACATTAAAAAAATTCATAATTTTTGTAGATGAACATCTTTTACGGCGATATGGTCACCATTAGAACCGCCTCGTTCTCCGCTCTCAGAAAATATACAGCTTGTTTGAGATCCGTTAAAAAAAGGCGTGGTGCAGGATGTGCCTAATGATTTCTAAGAGTTTTCGAGTTTTCAGGATAAAAAAATCCGTGACTACTGCAGATAACAGCTGGTGCAAGGAAATAGTAGCCGTCGGAACTGCCTCGTCCTCCGCTTTCAAAAAATATATGGCATGTCTGAGATCCATTCAAAAAAGCGCCTGGGTGAAGGGTGTGCTTAGTGATTTTTAAAGATACTCGATTTTTTATCATAAAAAATTCATAACTTTTTTAGATAAACATCTTGTACGCCGAGATAGCCACCATTGGAACCGTCTTGTCCTCCGCTTTCAGAAAATATATCTTTGCTTGGAGTCCGTTATAAAAAGTGCCGGGTGAAGGGTGGGTGAGACTTTTATAATGGGAGTGCTCAAGTAGACGCCTTTTTACAATGGTAAAAAAGCCTGTACTTGAGCACTCCCATTATAAAAGTCTCACCCACCCTTCACCCAACACTTTTTCTAATGGATCCCAGGCAAAGTATATATTTTCTGAAAGCGGAGGACAAGACGGTTCCAATGGTGGCTATCTCGGCGTACAAGATGTTTATCTAAAAAAGTTATGACATGCTATATATTTTTCGAAAGCGGAAGACGAGGCGGTTCCGATGGTTACTATTACCTTGCACCAGCTTTTCATCTGCAGTAGTCACGGATTTTTTATCCTGAAAACTCGAAAACTCCCAGAAATCATTAGGCACATCCTGCACCACGCACTTTTTTTAACGGATCTTAAACATGCTGTATATTTTCTGAGAGCGGAGAACGAGGCGGTTTTGATGGTGACCATCTCGCCGTAAAAGATGTTCAGCTACAAAAGTTATGAATTTTTTTATGTCAAAAACCCGAAAATCTCCAGAAATCACTAGGACACCCTTCACCCAGGCACTTTTTTTGACGGACACCACGCAGTGTATATATTTCCTGAAAGCAGAAAACGAGGCGGTTTCAATGGTAGCCATACCGGCGTAAATTATGCTCATTTTCAGAAGTTACGGATTTCTCTATCCTAAAAACTCGAAAATATCCAGAAATCACTACCCACACTCTTCACTAGGCACTTTTTCAACAGAATCCAGGCAAACTATATATTCTCTAAAAGCGGAAGGCAAGATGGTTTCAAAAATATTCACGTTGCTGACGTTGCTGTTCATCTACAGAAATTACGAATTTCTTCTTTGAAAAAATTTCGTAAATACTTAAAAATTGTCTAACTCTTTCCGAAACAAATGTTCGCATGCGATGTGCAACTATGGTAATTCTTCCAAAACCAGGCAGGGCGATGTAAAAAAGGGAAAAGGAAATGTAAAAAATACAAGGTGCTGGTCAGAAATATAACTGTATGCTAATCCAGCAGCGTATCACTTCACATTTCAGAAAAAAGACAAACAGTAATGGTAAGGAATTGGAAATTATGAACTTTGACTGGGAAGAATGATGGCTCCCCCCCCCCCGGTCGACATTTTACGATTTCTTTGCCAAGTAAAACACCCTTCACCCTGGAGGGGTTGCGACCACTGTGACCCCCTTCAGCCTGGAGGAGTCATTCTCACCTTATCGCACCTGTGTTCGGCACCGCACAGCGCTGGCACAACTCCAAACGCAGCCTGAACGACATTCCGCACTTGAAGAATGTTTCTGATTATTTATAGAGTTCCCGAAAACAACGCTTACTTTATCAACATATCGAAGTGCTGGTGCTCTTTCCGACAGCTTACTCTTAATAAGAATGAGTCTTACCTCAATTTCGCTTGCTCACAAGCTCCTTGTGCCAGCCGCCATAACAGTTCAGAACAATCGCTTTTGGCAAGCCTAAAACATTTACCTGATACATCTATCTCTATACAAGTAAAAGAAAACTCACCTTCTCAAAATGCTGTAAGCATTATCTATTAAATAGTTATCATAAAGCGCATCTACTTCTTGGACAATGAGATCAACGTTTTCTAGTTTACTCATATCTGTTGCTACTACTGGTTGCTGGCCGCTGATATGAAGAAGGACAACGCCAAAGACGAGAGAAACCTGTCGTTAACAACCTTCGTAAATTTCGTATTCTGAAACTATGAGTAGCGGTTTCTTACGTGGTCAATAACTCAGCATCAATGTCTACAGAACAAAAGAAAAAATGAAAAATAAATGAAAAATAGACAAACAATAGGACATGCCCATTTTTGAGGAGAGCGTTCAACCCACAAAAAAAATTTTCGCGCCTAGTTTTTCTAGAAAGAATATTCTCCCAGATTTTGACCCGTCCTCTATAACAACGTATTAAAACTTGCCTTACGAAGTTTGTAAAGTCTTTACTAACGATAACGAATCCTGCATGATTCTATAACTCAAGACGACCCCAAAAATTTTTTGCACTACCGGTAACAAATTGGAATAGAGCTTACCACCTGAGTAGCAAATCGTTGTGCATGTCGGGTGATACACAGCAAAACTTACAATCTATAGGACATATCTAGAGAAAGATTTTAGTGCATGAAAATAATTGTGCTGAAATTTCAAGATCAATCTTAACGCTACATGACTGCAGACTAAAAAACAAGTAAATTGAAGCAAGCATGACTGTGGTAAAGAACAAAAAGGAAATTCGTCGTTCTTCTGCCAGAGCCAGTCTTCTAGATCTAAAATTATGAGATGTCTCCAAGATTTTCGCGAGCCCAAAACCGTAATTTAAACAGAGGGGGCCTTTGTGCAGTCACGCCACTTGAAAATTTGAACAGCTCAGCCAACCACAAAAATTTTAAATTTATTCTATTTATCTACGATCGAAAACCAGTCACTTGCGCAATTTCATGACTAATGTGTCTGAAATAGTATGTCTATGTCTTAACCGGGCATACGTCACGCGATTTCATCGCCTCGCGATTCTTCTAATAAGACAACTCTTACGAGTCAATTGCATGTCGACCTTGCAATTCGGTTGGGATATCAGTTGCGATTAGTCGAAACGCCTCCCTCACAGTGGTTTCAAGCTGCAAGGCTAGAAGGTGTAAGCCCACACAGTCATTGCGCAGGTCCTACAGCGAGTCGGCGTCTTAATCTTGGCGGGATTCACGTCCTCACGTCCTAATTCAAACCTGGGGGCTTTTAAAAAAGCCGTTTTCGACAGTTTTCGCGATCAGCATTTGCAGAATCGAAAGTGGGACGGATAAGCCCAATTGCGAAAAATCTCCGATTTCAGATTTTGCCGGGACGTTGCCATTGAGGCGATGATTTTTGTATGTGTGTTTTATGCCCTGCGGGCGCGAAAGTCGCGGTCAATTACGCTGCTACGATTTTATGAACGAACTATATATCTGCCAGCACAGTTCCAAAGTACAGAGCTCCTAAATCGCAGAGTCGTTTGCACCAGCGGTCGCGCGACCCGCGTCGCGCCCGGGCATCAATGGCGCCGCCTCGATCGATGGCGCCGGCGCCGGCAAAATGCACGGGCGCGACGCGGTCGCGCGACCGCTGGTGCAGACGACTCCGCAGTTTAGGAGCCCTGTATGTAGTTAAGCCGCGCGACTGTCAAAAAGACTATTGTACGTGATTAAAAGTTTGATAAGCCGTCAATATTACTGGGAGTCGACAATACCAATTTGAAAGTGGTTGTCGGAAAGACTACGGATAACCCGTCTTTCTGAGAGTTCAACCATGACTCTGCTAATGCTTTCAGTTGCAAGGTATATTAGTAAAGTATTGCAAGACAGTGATGAAAAGGGAATGTCTCTCCACAGGAAATTCGAAGCGCTTCGGGACCCGTCTTCAACGCTCGGCGGCGGTTTTAGCTCACACTGCCTGTGTTGTTACGAAATCGCTATAGCGTGTTACGTCAGTTGGATTTATTTAACCTCTTTTTCTTTTGATTTTTCTTCGCCAGCCTATAGATAAGTTAAACCCAGTCTTTTAGTAAATGGTATCAAAAAAGTTTTTTTGACGAAATCGCGCTTTTCATGTTCCATGTTTGAAGTCAGCGCTATAAAAAAACGATAAAGAAGAAGAAAATCGAGAATTTTCTCGGACGCTGCCTTTAACTGTTGTATTGCGCATTCTGTGCTTTTAGCATTGTCCAGGTCAAATGAAGGGTGGTGAGATCTAATCTCAGTAGGATATGTAGTCATGACTAACGCAACAGTGAATAAGTTCCATCAAAAAAGGTTCTGAAGCCAGGAAATAGTTTATAAGGGGCGGTACTACGAATCCCGCCTCCTTGACAAGGTGTACGTTGTGTTTCAATAGATCAACTGCATTCGCCAAGTTGAACCATGTCAGGAAGGCGGGGTCGGATTGCCCCCTTCTCTCACCTCCCCCCCCCCCCCTTTTCCGAAGCGATTTTTTCACCCTCCACCTTTTTTGATCGGAATTGCACTGCTGCGTTAGTCTGGAGCCACATTGTTGTACTGCACTGAGACCTTACCACAGTCCAGTTGACCTGAACAATAATGCCTTCAAGAAAATTTAGCATGTTAATTCACGGCATGTGCGCAATCTGCGGGGAGATATTCATCACGAACAATATAGCAGCTCTGCACTGTGGACACACTTTCCATGCTGATTGTATTCAAGAGTGGTTCAAGGTAGGTAAAAAGCTGTGGCGGGCCGAGGGCGGAGGCGGGGGGACGAGAATCTCTTTGAAGATTACTTGCATAAGATATAAAAATGTGAAGCGACGGTTTATAATCCTAATTCATTGAAATAGTTTTCAAAAATTTTTAGAAATTAGCTTTTTGAAAAAATTTTCATGGGAATGCCACCACGCCCGGGGCCCTTAGCCCGCAAAAATTTCGGGAAACATCCCAAAAAATTTTCTGGAGTGCGGCTAATGCCACACACCTACATTCACTCAACATTTCTATCACCTCCGTTCCCCACTCCCCCGCCCACACCAAACGTACCCTAATTTCACGAGTACTGGACGCACCTCGATTTTCAAACGAGCCGCTCTAGCTCCATGTCGGAAAACGAGACTTTTGCCTCAGAATACTCTCAGGCAACATGCAACACTGTATATAGTTTTATTTTTCACGAAGTCTTTCGGCGTGTCTATGCTGTTCAATTTTAGAAAAAAAATCCCCCGCGTCCTATGCTCGTTAAAGTAGGGTAAATCGTGGGACCGCCACAGATAATAAGTGTTTTTTCTCCGTTCTCTTTCTTTCATTTGAACTTATTTTCAGCATACCGAAACTCCCACTTGTCCGAATTGTAGAACTCTCACTGCCACTAACCAAGTGGTGCGTCGCCTCTTCTTCAGTGTTTCCGATGATACAACCCTCGTTGATGAACTAATGAAAACTCTTAGTGAGAAAAAGTATGCTTTCTCATGTGCTCAAGCGGAAATACGGGAACTCAAAAACGATTATGAAAACCTGGAAATCAAGGTAGGTCAACTTCTTTTTGAACCTTCCATTTCATCGTATTTTGTAGCTCGCAATGGAATTCGTCGAAAAATCTGAGCTTTTGGAGAGAGTTGCTTTGTTGGATAGTCAGAATGGCATCCAAATTGAGTTAATCCAGCCCATCTTGCATTGACAAAAGAACTAAGGCAGTGTAGTTGTAGGCAGCTGGACGAAGCAAAGAAACTACAGAAAAAGCTCGAAGCAAAATTACGTAATGAGCGGAAACAGCTGAAGAAACTTAGGAAAAAGAAGAGAGATTTGGAAGCACGGATCGAGGTTTATAGCAATTTGCGTTCTATGCAGTAAAGCCCTTTTTTTTCAGAGTATGGAAGAACAAACTAGAGTTTCAAAGAAGAAGGAGAACGATTTGGAAAAACTTGTTAAGGTTTGAAGCATGCTATAGACAATGTGTGACCAATAGGGGGTTGTGATTTTGTTCCTATACCAAGGACCCTCTAACCAAAAAGTTGCTCGCTGCCCAAAAATGTGTAGAGATTCATTACTCGCAGAGACTGGACGCCGTTGGGTCCAACCAAAACAGTTCGTGCATGGAAGAGGCAGCAGACGATAAGAGGAGCATAAGAGTGCTAGAGGCAGCGTCCACCCAAAATTTCCTCTCTCATGCCTTAACTGTCATCGGGCCGTTCTCCATGGCGCTGATTTCGGATACGGGGTTCGAATTACCGGGAAACTCCAAAATTGCTCCTTTCTGCATCCCTAATTTGGCAGACGTGGACGAAATCCCCGCGGCTAGTCACGTAGTATGCAACAAAACCTCGTCGTGTGCAACAGTGCCACATCACAAATTATGCGTCTCGACCTTGCTTGTTATGCTCGAATACGTTATGGGGCAATCCGTGGGTGGGCGGACCGCAAAAAAGGGGCGGAGTGCAAGAATCAGGCGGGTTTTCTTCTCTTAGAATCAACATTGGGGGGGGGGGGGCCGGAACAACGCAGTTGGTCTTCTTCTGGGCCCTATATTTACACCGTATAGGAAAGTGGGTAGCCCAGATTTAGGGTGTACGCTGCCTTTGATCAAAGAGACGCAAACAGCTTCGCAGTGACGCGCTGTCTGTGTGATGAGTCACCTTTACATATTAGTGTTTTATGACGCTCGAGAACTATAGCAACCGTATAGAGATGATTTTGAACCATGAAGGCTGAAGACCAAAATCCCTAATGCAACTGAAATCTGTTATCATACTCCTGTCAGTTTTTCAGCAGTCCTAAAACTTATCGAATGCTTACTTCGAACAGCTAATATCTGCTACATGACGAAGGCGGTCGCCCAAATAGGTTGAAAGCATCCAAGGCGCGCGCCCCATGGTTGACAATTACCCGCGCCCAGCGTCGCGCCATCCTTGCATGCTTTCAACTTATTTGGGCGACCTCCTTCGTCATGGAGCAGATATTAGTAAGCCAAAGCATTTGTACAGACTAGCAGTTCTTTGTTAAATTGCAGTCTTAACCAGTCCCAACCTGTGACAGCCAGAGAGCGCCTTTTGACTTCCTTACTTTGCCTCAAAACACTATTCCACAACCTTTATCTTGCCGGAAGTTGCCTCCGCGTTACAAACTACCGTTACGTATTTGTTTAGAGTATGGAAGAACAGCTGAAGATTTATAAGAAAAAGGAGAGTGATTTTGGAGAACTCGCTAAGGTATGATATTACTTCCTAGACAATAATGCAATATAGTTGTTTAGAGTTTGGAAGGAGCACCGCAGATATCAGAGGAAGAAGAGCAATTTTATGACTGTTAAGGTTTGTTACATCTTACATGCCGGGCAATCATAACTCATAGTTTTTAAGGCTGAAAAATTCGTCTGATGTCCATGCCGTAGATGTAAACACTGTCAGATGCTCATATATTTCGATTAAATTCTACTATAAATCATAGCTCTTGCAGATCTGTCTAAAACTGGTCGTAAATAAAGTGAAGTCCCTTTTGTGTAGTTACTTTATGAGCACAATGGCAACCTCTTTGTACTACCCTATTTTCAGGTGTATAAGCCGCACCCTTTTTGCTCTAAACGCGAGCACACCCAGGCGTGCCGCCGCGCATATGTCTCGCAAAGCGGTCGCCTTATCGCATACTGCTTTCACTTAACGCGCTCCATGATGACAGTCAGTCTTTTGGCGTGTTCGTCTTTAGAGCGAAAAGGGTGCGGCTTATACACCTGAAAATAGGGTACAACAAGCCTGATCGGAATCACATCCGAACTAAATCGCGGCACGATTAGTTGAAGGAGCTATTATATAATGGCTCTTTGTTGTAGCCGGGAACATGCCATTGTCTAGAAAACAAATCTGCATACATGCCGTCTTAATCAAAGTGTCGTTAGCACCGCGGCTTGCATTAGCGCAGCCGCCTCACTTCCAGCCTGTGCCGCAGTTTCGGAAGAATTCCTGTGGGCTTTCGAGGCTGGCGGGTGTGGAAAGAAACCAGAATTTTAAACGAGCCAAATGAAATTTTGAAAAGCATCCAAAATTCTTGGTAGGTATGCTAACGCTACGCCTCCATTTGGAGATTTCTATGGTGCAGAGGGAGTATAAAAATGTGCAAGTGATTTTTTACTTCTAGATAATCAAAATAAATCCTTGGAAATTATGCTAATTATTTCAGAGTAAAACAAGTCATCTGTACATTTTTTTAACTCGTGTAACTTTCAAAAATATGGCGACCCGTTCTCGAAGGGGGGGGGGGGGGTATTTCCACTTCTAGCTCCTGCCCCTTGTAGGTGGTCTGCCACGTGTCGTTCCGTTTACTTCAAAGAAAACTTTCGACATTTTGCTAATGTAAGAAAATGTTTATGTGCGATTCTTATGAAAGATGATGAAACAATGGCGAAGTAGCAGTCATATTCAAATTAATTCCAAATAAAGCTATGTTGAGGTTGCTTTCACAAGAAAAGAGCTAGACGAGGTAACTAGATCGTCAAAAACTATTATATTAGGTTGTAAAGAAAGTTCCCGGGCACTTGCGAAAATTTTTTTCAAATCGCAGTAACTTCAAGCAGATTGATTCTTTTTTGAAGCTGCAAACTTCATTGCAAAGACAACTTTGCCACAACATATAATTGTCTTGCTGGCTTCTCAGCACCTCACTGCGGTCCACCAGCATGCGCAGAAGGAAAAAAGGTCGTCGCGAAAAGTGGCCTGTTTGTGCAGGATTATCTCAGGCAGGATAACAGCTGGAGAGTCCAGATGCTGTAGTTATATAGAGTTCTGCTGGGGCTGTTATGGGAACCATTCATGTTCTTGAAGGACCACCTGCACAAAAAGTTTCCCCAGAAAGTTTGAAAAATCGACCATTTTTTGCCCCCAAAAATGCACCATTTTTCGAGTAAGTGGCTTCGGAGTGTTCTAGTTCTGCACAGAAAGGATCAAGTCTTTGATTACTGCGAACATTGTTGGGGTAATGCCTTGCACATCTTTTGGACCCATCGTCCAGGCGTGGCGATCCCTGCAGAAGCGACGCCAGCTGCGAAAAGAGTTGCAGTCAAAGGCAAGTTCGAGAGCTTGTAATTTCTGAGCACAAATGGCAAAACTCGAGTGCAGCTGCGGGTCAGAAGTTGACAGGTTCCTCAATCAGATCACTCATGATTTGGACGAAATTCTTTGAACTGCACAGAAAAATGGGCGCAGGAAGAAAAACTGCGAAATTTTCATGATTGGAAAGATTTCCTTTTTTGATGTGCAGGTCAAACACGTCTTGGCCTCGATAGAATTCAGAAGCGGTGTTGAAAACTTCAGGCTTCCCTCTACTGAACAGTATAAAAAACTTGGTGTCAAAGTCCGGCCGAGCGCCGAAAAAAGGCGTTTGAAAATGAAATTTCCAAAAGTGCTCGGGAACTTTCTTTACAACCTAATATATCATTGAAAACAACGGATATAAACTATATCCGGACCGTCGCAATTTTTTGTGCGTCTAAGAAAATCTCACAGTATTTGGTATTGCTCCAACTTCGACAACGTTAGTAATGACCTTCTCAGGAATCCGTTTATCGTCAGCTGCTATAACTGGCATTTTAAATGCATCCATATAGTACTTCAAGGCTTCATCTTCGCTGCCCATTTTTTCGTGAGTTTCGGCAATGTAGTAGGTGTTGGTACTGTAGAAATGCGGCTGAAATTTAACATAAGAGCTGAATGTGGCTTAGATCACAAAAGATTCAAAATCCTAAATTCAAGATACTGACCGAGATTTCCTCCGCTTTTAGAAAATAGTGAAGAGCTTTGTCGTAAGTAGAGCTGGGCGGTGTAGCAAAAATAGTTTTTGCAACGGCTAATTCCCGCCGATCCATTAGAGAAATTTCTAGGACAGTCACATCTAATCAAATAGTTCCACAATCAAATCAGAGCCTAGATATAAATCGATGCAAAAATCCGATAAAACGAGCCATTTGAAATCCTAGTTTCGTAGGATCTTGGTCAATAAAACGGTCAACTTGCGTGCAGCTTGCTCAGATTTGACGGCGCGTATGTACTTGGTGGTAACGAAAAACCAGTCAATAATAATGTTGTCGGATCATTCTCGCAGATTTGCAATGCACGTTCCAGATGTTTCTTCACCTAAAAGGCTCTCCATCGAGCGAATTCGTTAGAAAAAAAAACTAATGAGGAATGCTACCTAACTTAGCTCGGCCTTTTGGCAAGTGACATATATATTCTGAATCGACTTTGAACGGTGATTCCAAATATGCTATTTAGCTGCCGAGCACCATTCCGAGTGAGTTATAGGCTATTCCCTGCGTAAAATTGGCGTAATGCTGAACATGGGAAGATTGCTTGTAGATGAAAACCTGCAAAAAATTGATGCTGAAACACAAATCCAATCTTTTCTCACTAAAATGAAGCCAACGCGAGTGTATTATTATAGCACTTAGATAATGGCGACATGGTGCCTGTGAGTCGATGAGCATGCTAATTTTGCGCAGGAAGAAGCCCATAACCCGCTTCGGAATGGAGCGTGGCAGCTAGGAATAGCATATTTCAAGAAAATAAGATTAAATAAGATAGGTGGATAGCTTTCAAGATAGCTTTTCCAGAAGTCTTCTCTTATTCGAAGTCACAAAATACACAAACGCTCCGAACACTAACAAATCTTGGGATTTCGAGACTTTCAAAAGTCGATTATGCTTGTCCACTATTTTTGCAAATTAACTGAGCGTTTACCGCTTCGGAACATAAGATTTCCTTCACATGTACAGACTTGGGCGGGTTCAAAATCAGAATTGTGAAAATTTCATCGCCAAAGTCCCACAAATTGGGAATAAAAAAACTCTTGTTAGAAAGAGAAGAAAAAGCTGCATGAATGACACCTTAGTTGTGCGCCGTTTTATGTTCCATGCCTCTTGGCATCACCAAACGTGGAATTTGATAGCATCAGAAAAAATCCTAAAAAATTTTTAGTTGCATTACATTGCACCTTGTTTGCTCTATCTGACTGCTATCAAAGCTTTTCCAAAAGTCAAAAATGAAGATTGTGAGAAATTTGGACTAAAAACCATGGGTTAGAAATTTTGGAGATCATCTCAGTGACCACAAGAGCAAGCAGCATAAGGATATGACATTCAAAAAGAAGAAGAAAAGTTGCGTCGGGTAGTGCTTGTAGCGTTTTTCTATCTTTGCCTCATACGTTTTTAAAAAAGGTTGCAAAAACGGAAAGAACCTGCGGAACGACCCGAAAGTTCGCTCTGTTTTGCCAGCCCATGTCCGCTCCGCTTAGATAATCGTCAAAATCTCCAACCCATGGTTTTTACCCATCCTAAGCTTGGCTATTTTTTAAAATTTCCATTTACAAATTTTGGATTAGCTTTTATAACAGTCGGATAGAGTAAACAAAATGCAATACAATGCATTTTTTGGCCTCTTTAACTAATCTAAAAGCCTTCACTTTTCCGAACCGTGAAATACACAACCGGTTCAAACACTGATAAATTTTCGGAATTTGAAGCTTCCAAGAACAGCTTATCACTTAGAGCTAATTTTGGCATGCACTGTCGGTTAGGGTTCGAAATGTTGGATTCTGAATTTTGTGGTTTCAGCCTGGACGAAGCTGGAAACAAGAATTATAATGATTTTATCCCCAAATACTACACAAATCAAAATGGAAAAAAAGCCTTCCAGAAAGGAGAAAAAAGTTGCATCGAATGACACTCTGTTTGCTCGCCGTTTATTGTTCTATGAGGACTGGGACGATCAAGTATGGAAATTGATAGCATCGGAAAAATATTTCCATTTTGAGAAGCTAGCTAGAGGGATCCAAAAAAATATGTTGCATTGCATTTTGTTTATTCTATCCATTTAGTCTTAGAGCTGGACCAAAAGTTTGGAATGAAAGTTTCAAAAAATAGCCAAACTCCAGATGGGGAAAACCATGGGTTGGAGATTTTCACGATTATTTGAGCGGTCACCAAAGGAATTTGAACAGGGCCTTTACCTTTAGAAAAAGGAAGAAACTCTGCATCGAAAACCGCTCAAAGCGTTTGTCTATAATTACTCTAAGTAGTTTGGACGTGAGTCTGAAACACAGCGCGAACTTTCAGACCGACCTAATATACAGGTTACCCCCCAGAAGTCTTGTAGCCTAGTATCTTACCTATAAAAACGGTACGGAACAAATTAGGGATATAAAATTTGGGGCACTACTCAAACAATAACCAACGCAACACAACCAGTTTTGTGAAAGCAATTCTCCTTGTTAACGGAAGCCTTCAAATTGTTGGCGGTTGCCACTGCCGCGGCACGCAGATAGTCATTTTCAATCTCGTTCCGCGCCTTTGCGGGATTAGTTCACATCGCTTAGAAAATGTGCAGCATGATAGAGCAGGCTTCCAGCTACAAAATACTCTGAATTTTTTTTTGTAAAATCAGGATTGAATATACAAGAGTTCTAATGCAGGCATGAGTGGGCCTCACGCTGGAAACCAAATTCTTCACTGAGACTGAACTGAAATCTCATTTATAATAGAAGACATATGGAGAGAATACTATTTTCGATCTAGTGACCGATATTTTCGATCTAGTGACCGTTTCAGCTCTACAGAGTCAAAATTGATTTCAAAGATATAGTGGCCGTGGCACGCACCTAAAGTTTCCAAATTTTTTTTCGCCTTTCTGATATGGAATAGATTTCTGAGTGCAGCTACAATAGTTATAGTAGTGCAAAGCTTCCTCTACAATGTGAACCTAAATATGTACTAGAATGTTCCAGATACTTCAAGCTGCGGATGAATTGTAAGCCCGAAAAAATAGATTTTTGCGCTTTCAGAAAGTCGTGATTTAATAATACCTTTTTTCAAAAACGTATAAACATCATTTTGGCCTTGCAAAAATGTATATAAATGCAAAGGATGATTGCAACATTATGTGGCGTAAATTTGAAATCGAAACTATCAGCGATTCATAAGTTATAACGATGCAAACTTGGGCTACAATACTTTTGGGACACCCTGTATATGTATACAGGGGGTATCTTAAAAAAAACGTGCCTACTGATTGACTGTAAATAACTCTCTTGTAATGATGTATTTCGAGAAGCTACAGATACCGTTTTGTGGAGCTGGCTTCAACTTAGATTTACAGTATAGAGCAAACCACCCATCTCTCTTCATTACTATAGGATTAGGGTGGGAACTTCAAAGAAGGTTTTGAGCCATGAATGGTCATATTTTGGCTCGGAAAAGAAAGAATACGATCTGAAAACTCTCGCACTAGACTACTTGGAGTTGCTGATTCGAATTATGAAATTTGCATCTTATTATAAAGCTTTCTTGTAAATTTATGCCAGGCAAGCAGTAGCAGCCATTTTTCAATGTTGGTAAAAAATGCGGTTCTACTGTTTGGAAAGCTTCACTATCTTGTACAAAGTTTCATAAAGAACTCGATCCATCTTACACCTATTACACAAGTTTTCAAAGTTTTTCAAAAATTATTAAAAGCAAGCTTTTCACGTTGACGTTATATGCCGAATGTTCCTGACGTAATTTTACAGTAATGAAGAGCGTTCGATGATTCGCTTTATACTGTAAAACTAAGTTGAAGCCCGCTCTGCTATGGTGCTTAAGCTTTTCGAAAGACTGCATTACAAGAAAGTTATTAACAATCATACATAGGCACATTTTTTGGAACACCCTGTATATATTAAGTCGTTTGAAGTTCTTTCCGTTTCTTCGATCAATCATAGAAATGCGTGGGATAAAGATGAGCAAGCACTTCAAGGACTATTCAATGCAGCTTTTTTCCTCTTTCCTGCAGTTGTGCTCGCTACCATTTGCTTTCGTGGTTACTAAGATAATTGCAGAAATGTTAAACTCGTGGTTTTCCATGCTCAAGTTTAGCAATTTTTCACATTATCTAATTTGAACTTTCTGAGGGATTTTGTTAACAGCTGGATAGAGCAGACAAAGTACAACACTATGAATTTTATTCTCAATTCCAGCTGGCTTTTCAAAATTCCCAGAATTCTTCAAATGATCTGAGCCACACAGGTTTTTTAGATGGTCTTTATTATCCAATCACGGCCTAATGTTTCGACGCCTTCGTCTTCCTCAGAGGCCTGAAAGTGGTTCAAAACGTCATCCGTGACTCCAAGCCACCAAACACCTCTCCCAGTCCGGCTAGTTCTCAACCTTCGCTCAGCTTTCCTCTTATAAAAATGTCAGGACAGAAGATGAGCGTACCGAAAGACCACCGCTATATATGGTATTCCGCACCGGAAATGATGGTCGTGGCGGAAGAATAAACTATACCATAAATGACAATCGAATGTGATCTATAGACCACATAATGATATGAACGGAAGAAAGTCAGAGGTTATCGACAAACACTCATTCTTGTTGTTTATTTCTGGCTTCTTTGCAGAAATCCAGAAAGCCTCTAATGCTTTCCTAGCCGAGGTCTCCTTTTCACAAGCTAAGATCTTACACTTGATATCAAAGTCTTCTCCATTATGCGCCTCGCTTTGCAATTGTGCACGTAAAATGCATTTCCGAAAAGCCGCGCTGATACTATCATACTCTTTAATAAAGCGCAGGCACCCCCATCTGACGTCAGTGTCGGTCTGTTCGTGCCATGTTTGGGTTGTTTACCACTATGCTCCATGAACCTGCACTTTACCACTGCCCTTTACCACTATGCTCCACGAACCTGCACTTTACCACTGCCCTTTTGTGTACAAGTGATCTTTGCCATCAGACTGTCTGTCTTCGCTATTGTTTATCAAGGTTCCTTACGCAGGCACGAGCAGTCAAACGCTGCTACCACAACTCCTAAGCGGTGAAATCGATTAGTCTTATAACCG